AAATTTTTTTATTGAATTTGATTAACAAAAGAATAGAAATAAATCACGAGACACAAATTTCTCGAGGAATTTACTACCACACTGTGAGTATCAAATATTTATAATTTTTATTTTTTTTAAATATAAGTGTATCGTGATTTATTTCTATCCTTTTGTTAATCAAATTCAATAAAAAAAAATATTAATTCGTTGATATTTATTTTTTAGAGGTCGCTCGAAAACATAGGTACACTAGTTTGAAAGTTAAAATAATTATGAGTGACCTTTAGAAATTAAAATATCGATTTGAAATTTTCAGAATCGAGATTTTTTTCAACTTATAAAATAACGAGAAAAAGAATGAAAAAAAAATCAATTTTTGACCATTTTGGAAATTTTTAAAAATCTTGAGCGACCTGTAAAAAATTGTTTTTGAGCTGATTTTTTGAGGGGGCTCTTAAAACATAATATACTAACATATTTTTACAAGTCACGAAAAAAAAGTATTTGTTTTTTTTGGGAATGACAATTTCCAAATCTTTCATTAATGTATGTATAATTAAAGTTATACCGTAAATTTAATAAATCTCCAGTTATTTATAGTTAAGGACAATCTGTCAAGGATTATTATATTAGAAATATTATAATAACAATTATAGATTCAAAAACCTTCAAGTCATCAGCCTATAAGATAAAATTTGAATAAGAAAAGTAGGTGCTAATATCATTGATAAATATGGAAAAAAGTAGAGGGCCCGAATAAGACCCTTGTGGTATACCTGACATGATTTTGAAATTTGAGGCAAAATCCGTTACTTTATGACTTATTGGACATATTTCGTCCACGTTAGGAGATTGTCGTCATTTTCTGTACAAAAAAATTACCTGGTATCAACAGCAAAGAAATTGGCCGATAATTTCTTATATCCCTTTCACTTCTACCTCTATGAATTGGGGTAATCCTAGTTTCTTTAAAAATATATATAAATTTGCCTTCAGAAACTAGAGTGACATGTATCACCACTGAAATGACGTCACGCGCGCAGCGTTGAGGCTTTGTAATTTAGACAATCAGATCTACGAGCACCTAACCTTGGTTTTCTTGCAGAGTATGTCGCCAGCTGGCATGTCCCCTTCGTACCCGCACTCGGAACCATCCCCCGACCCCCTCACTAGTCAATTCATGATCAACAGGATGCCCAGGCCCTCGTCGAGTAGTCCACCGCTGACACCCCAACCCCCAACCCAGCGCACGCTGATGGGCCAGATCTTGGGCGCGCTCAACAACAGCTCCATGCTGGACGACATCAGCGTGGAGTCGCTGCAGGGCGGCTTCGAGTGCAACGTCGACGAGGTGATCAAGCACGAGCTGAAGATGGACGGCAGCCTCGACTTCAACTTCCCCAACCAGCAGCAGGAGGGCATGCCTCCGGCCGAGGCGCGCTCCGACATCTCCAACAGCCAGACCAGCGCCCCACCATCCTATTCTGCGGCGGTCACCGCGCCGTCCTGGGTGCATTAACGAAAAAATTCAGGTAACGCTGACATTTGTTTGCTGGAAAATTGTAGCTTTCCGTCCATTCTCACACACTACTTCTAATTTATTTCAATTGTACGAGGACACAATTATTTATTTGAAAATATTACAGCATGCCGTGGCTGAGGAGCCGTGTGTTAGTACACCTGGGCACGTGACGTCCCATTCGTTGCTGACCGGAGCTTTAGTCCGCAGAGTAGTCGTTTCCCACAACATCGTTAGTGCAAAACTTAAGTAAATAGAAATCATAGCTTTATTTCGGTAGGACTTATTTCTGACCCACTATTGCGTAATCTAAAATCGCTCGGCTGGTTGGAAGGTAAACAGTCGTAAACGATCAAGGTTCAAGTTGAGTTCATTCAAGTCCTCCGCACGCAACTCCGATATAATTGTTCCAGGGTTCCACGGCCGGACAAGACGAGGCGAGGCCGAGAGCGTAAACATGTTAATTTTCGGTTTCACACTAGACTACCCCCCGAACGAAAACTGATCAGTCAGGCCGATCGACTTTATGAATTAAACACGACTCCTCCGAGACCCAGTCAGATTGATTAGATTCATTCCCGAATAAAACTTCGTAATTACTTCGTACGCCCGACAAAGCCGTCCGCGTCGAGAGAAATTGTTTGTTGATTTTATAATAATTGGTAATTACGAAGGGCGCAGCGCAAATTATTCTGCTACACTGAAAACAGTGTTTCATGAAAAACATTCAAATTCACAGTTAGAGCTTACCGTCTCCAGATGCGGAACAACTGACTCCTTTTGCTTCGTCACCGTTGGCCCGTACTATCTCCCTTCATATACACTGTAGGTTGCCTACAATCATGTATGTAATACCTGAGTCTTGCAGCATTTCGCGTGCATTTTAAAAAATTAACTACAACTCGACTATTTATTTGATTAAAAAAAAGATTTTCAGATTTGTATTCAGGAAAGCACGTACTATTACTCCTAAAAAATTACGTAATTATTTTCCTCAATTTTTTGTTTCCATTTCAACATCGTTTTACGTAACTATTACAGAATTTTAACCTATCAAGGACGATATTTTAGACTTTAAAACTTTTTTCCAATAAAACAGGGATTTCCTTCCGGCCGGCGTCGTCACCGCTCCCCGCCCTTCCTACCCTCCGTCTAAATTATCCCCCCGGTACATCCCGAACTTCTCCCAACTCGATAAGCCGCACAAATTAATTTTTCCGTGCTCTTGTCAGAGAAACTTTTCGAGGTTGTGACTTCGTCCTAGACGGACGGTAATCAAATTCCTATCTGAGGAAATTGAATATAAAATTTAAAGAGCTGACAATTTCGGCCCTCCTGACGACTTGACAAGTACCCGGGGAGCCGCATAATTGAGCAGTAAAGTGTGTGGCGGCGGCGGCGGCGGCGACATTATTAAAGTAACACGCGTGCGGCGGAATTATTATTGAAATTTGACAGTCGCGCCGGCCCCCTGGCTCCTAGCCGGAGGCGGAGGAGCGACGGGTTACGAGGGGCACCAGAAACGTTATGATAAAATGGGATATCAAGCGTGCGTTGAAAGAGAAGCTACTTAACCTCATATGGGAAGCGAGGTGTCTAACCAAAGACTAGTACATCAAGCTAAAGCTATTCCGTATAGTATTAAAACTATAATGAGACTCATTATAGTACCAGTACTACAATAGAAAAATGAACTTTTGAAATTTTATTCGAACTAAACTATTAATTATAAATGTCATCGATGAATTGTACAGGGTACTAGTCACTATAATCTGACAACTTATTGTGAGTTTATTATTGAAATTACAAAAAAGGTTTTAATACAAAAGTTTTAGCTTTATTTATGAATTCTTATAATACAGTATTAGAAAAATCAATTGAATAATGGAAATCACTAAATTAAAGACATTTTTTTTAATGGAACACCCTATTAGTGCATACTTAGTTTCATTAAATTTTTCTCTTTTCAAAAATATATAATATGTTACTGGACTTCAGCACTTTTCGACATATTTAGTTTAAAACAATTTTTGAAAAAACAGGAGGGAAAAAGTGACCGCAAAAATCGCCCGTTTTTTCACAATTCGCAGAGAACTAAAGAAAATAGATAAAAATATGTATTTGGTCTCAAATTACTTGTCGTAAAAAATTAAGATGTGCATAGCTTTTAGTTTTTTGAAATTTTTCAAAAATCACCCCTATTTAGGGGTTGAAAAGACACCCAAAATGAAGAATTTAATATTACCAATAAATATAAAAACTATTAGCATGTGAATTTTTCTATCTAATGATTCTTGATACAAACAAAGATTTATTCTCATGACTGAAATAAGCATGTTGAATTAGAAAATCCACCCTTAAGCGCGCTCAGGGGGTGGAATCTTTTCCAAAAATAGAGAATATCAGAAATAATTGTAAAAATTCCAAAAAAAAAATATATTAAGATAATTCACATGCTAATAGTTTTTATATCAAATGGTAATATTCAAATTCTTCATTTTTGGCATTTTTTCAACCCCTAAGAGTGATTTTTAAAATTTTCAAAATACTAAAAGTTATGCTCAGTTTTTTTACGACAAGTAATTTGCAACAAAAAACATATTTTTATGTATTTTTTTTAATTCTCTGCAAATTGTGAACAAACGGGCGAAAAGGTTTTTTGCGGTCACTCTTTATGTCTGACGGATCGCAGTGGCTACGAACGAGGCACGCGGAACAAACAAAGGACTTTGACAGAAGTTTATTTATCATCATTAATTTATTTCCTATAACAAACTATTTTAACAAAGAAATAATGTTTAGTGAAAACGAAAAATTTGTTATCCGTTTATTTTATGATAATAATAAAAATCATTCTTAACTTTACCAAGTCTTAACTTTTAACAGAATTTTAATACCAAATTAATAAAAACCAACTAAAACACAAATGGTCACAGAAGCTCAATGTGACCGCCATTATTATTGATGCACTTCGTATAATCCTCATTAATTTTTTCAGAACTGCATTTAGTATGAAATGGGAATTAAATTCACTTAAATTTTGGATACATTGATCAACTCTATGTCTTAGTTCATCTAAGTTTACACTAGTTTTTTTATAAACTTCGTTTTTTAAGCAAGCCCACAGAAAACCGTCCAAGGGTGTAAGATATGGGCTATTTGAAGGCCATTGAATATTTCCTCCATTACCAATCCACAAATTTAATCAAACCTATTATTTAAATAATTTCGTACTGCTCTGGTTCTATGCGTCTTGGTGACAAATTAAATTGGTATAGTTGATCAGCGGCAGGTCTTCCAATTTGTTTTCTATTTGATTTTCAAGAAAATACAAGTATCTTTCCCCAGTCAAAGTACCTTCATAAAATAGTGGGCTAATGATTTTATAAACATTAAATCCTATGTCCCTATTACAGTGAGGATTTTCATTTGCTCAGGTATGAGTATTTTTCTGTTATAAATGCCAGCTATTGTAAAAGTCGCCTCAACAGTTCATAAAATCTCTTCAAAATAGTTTAGGTCGCCATTTTTTCAAGCGCAGTATTTCTCTGCAGTATCTAATCGCTGTTTTTTTTTATTTTTGGTGAATTTTTGGACCGGCATAATTTTATAGGGGCGGTATTTATATTTATGTGACGTAAAGGAAAAAAAATTAACGAAGCTTAGTATGCACACGAGGTACTGAAATGTGTGTTTGGGCGCGGTGTTCCTCAGGGAGGCATTTTAGGGCCGCTGATATGTTCAATTTACACTCCTGATTTTTTCGATGTATTTGCGATACACTAATTAGCATCAGTATGCAGATGGCTAGCAATAGTTCCTGATTGCTCTGTGACAGACTGAATTACTGATTTCCGACACTCCAATTAATACGGTAATGTATTTTTCGCCCCCTGTCGAAAATTGCGCGGCGACCCCGTCGGATTCGCGCCGGTGATTGATTCGAATGCCGCGCGCCTGTTCTATGCGGCGTAAGTTATGGCCGAAGACCGGCACGGATTTTCGCGCGGAAGCGCCACCCTCGCCACATTAATCTCGGTTAGATATGCATTAAACAAATCGGTGTGAGACTTCGAGGCTGCGGTATTCATCATCGCGCGTCGAGATTGTCGCTGGACGGAGACGCTCTCAAGCAGATACAAGCCCGATTTTCGGTGGAAACGTAAATACTGGTAGCGTTTACCCCCATAAAAAATTATTATGTGAATGTACTCAGTACTCGTTCCCACCTTGGATTGTAAGGGCTCACGTTCGATGAGCCAAAAGCCGGTAATTTCGGTGATTTAAATTAGTCTTGTGAGGTTAGAAGCAGGTGGAGGAACCAAGCTTGAGTTGATTAAACTCTATACTGAAGAGGTTGTTGTGTTTCTCTTAGAAATAATGCATTTTTTGCGCGAAATTGTACTTTAATGCAAGACATACAATATAAAAAACCTAACCTCAAAAAGTAGTGTCATAAAATGTCTTCATCTGAAATCTATAGTGACTCATCAATTTATTTTTTAGTAGTAGAAGCAGAGCCAGATACCTGTCGAGTAAGATTTTGCAGAGGTTCAAATAAAATATATTTTTACTCGTTCATTTTCTCTCGTATTATTATAATTATAAATAAAATATTACAATAAACGGGTGACTCAGGATCCGACCTGTCACTTTCTCGAACGAGGCCTATGATGGAATGATAAAATGTCACTCCGATTGTAACTCTTCCACGGTCTAGACATGTAAATGCGGGGATGGGGGGAGGGGGGAGGGCTAACTACTGTTCCCGATAATCGATTTTATTCCTTGCATCCGATATGAAATACAGTCTTTTGTGGCGAGAATTTTATTACTCCGTTGAATGGTGCGCCCGCTTTTTATGGGGATTCTTTATTTATAGGACGAAGCCTACGTTTTATGGATTCATACAGACCTGGATACAATCTCAGCGGGCTCTGTTAACAAGCGGGAGGAGCAAGTTTAGCAAATGTCGCGAAAGATACTTGATTGACAAATCAATTGAAAGTGGTTT